GTTTGTCCACCATTTCACCTCATAGCTTGTGAATGATGTGATCAAGAATGTGTTGCTATTGAATGATTTTTTGGACCACAAGGTTGGCATTGCCCTCTCATTTGGAATCTTGCTAGCCAACTATGTTTTATGCACACATTAGAGGCCATTTATATGGATTAAGTAAAGCATATTGTAGGGAAATTGTTTATGCAACCCCGGATCGAAGGGTATAGTGAGATGGTTGGTATCTCTCTGCCCTTGATTAAACTGTCGAGTTTGAACCCTGGAGTAGAAAACCTTTCACGAATGAGTACTTTACCCCATCTTAAACTTGTTAGTAGTTCTACTCAATATAAATCTGAATTAGTCGAGTCAACTAATTAATGAATCCGAATTAGTCCGACCAGAGCGAAAAAAGAAATAAAAATCTTGCAGAAATAAAATCTTGAATTAGTCCGACTAGGCTAGCAAATTTAACCAAGCAAATGTACACTCTTCTTTTTTGATTTTTCACCTAGGGAAAGAAACAAGCGAAGTCAAAATCTTGCAGAAATAAAATTGCTAAAATAAAAGAAATATTGGTCTCTTTTTTCCTTACAATGGCAAAGACAACTATGTAGCAAGGAACATATACTATATTGTTTTGTCTTGTTAAGGCTGACATACCTTTATATCAGATTGTTGCCTGTTCTTTGGATGGAATAAAGAACATTTTAATAAATATTTTATATGTTGTTTTTATTTAATTTAAGTTGCTTGGTCCATTTTTTAGCCAGGTCACACACATCTGTACTGATTATAATTAACATTAAAGTAACACAAAAAATTGGATTTACTTATTTATTTATTTGTTATTTTGCAGGATCTAATTTTAACATAGCTGGAATAATGAATCCATTCAAGCAATGAGCAAGCCAGCTGTGATATTTTCTGTAGCTTTTAACTTTCTTGATATGTTGCAATAATTCTCATTATTAAAGTTCTTAACTAAAAAAGTAAAAAAAAGAATAGAAAAATTGCTTTTTTGCTGTATGATTCTTGGTTAGTGCTTAAAATTTTACGTTAGTTTATTGGTATTTGTTTGCTTTACTTTTAGAGGGTCAAGCTCTTCAATTATTCAGACACTGTTGGTTTAAAGTTAAACATATGGGATCAACATGCAATTAAATTATTATTTGGAGACAGCTACCAGTTAATTAACTGAGTCAAAAAGGTTAGTATTGTGTTTTGTCTAATAGGTAAGTGTAATTTTGCATGCGGACAAAAAGATAGGGTTGAAAAGTTAAGATTAGCACCTATAACACCTTTTGTTTATGTATAGTGGAATATGAAAAAAATTCATTATAGTACTAATGCAAAAGGAGTTGCATTGGATCAAACATAATCTCTTATGTTTGATTTGGCTGTCTTAGTACTGTTTGAACCTCTTTTGTCCGTGAAAAGTTGTGACCAGGGCGGAATTCAAAAAAATAAACCCTTAAATAAGTTGAGGGGATTCAACATCTAATATATATACATGAAATAAAAAATTGACCTTTCCACCCATACACGGCACTGTCTAAAGTTGTTATCACATCTATGTCGGATCCTCCAAAAAGAGACATCAATATTAGTTTGTGAAAATATAATTTGGAGTTTATATTGGCCGCTTGTTGCTGTTTCTTCTTTCTTGCACATGTATTATTCATTTTGTATGCCTGCATCTGCATGCCTGAAATTCTGCTGCTTTGGTGCAGGAAAGATGGGTGCTCTTCTATATTTTTTGGGAAGTTTCTTGGGATATGGTTTTTGGTCATGGGAAAGGTAATTTGACCATGTTATTATTATTTGCTTAAAATTTTTTGTGCATGATTATTTCTTTGAATTCCAATGCAAACTCTTTTCACATCTCCTAAATTACAACTTGCTATTTTAACTTAAATTTTTTTTTCTTCTTCTTTTGCCTCCTTCCCCATGAAATTTTTTTATCTACCAAACAATTTAGATTCAGAATTTGAATATCGTTGGTTCTAGAATAAAAATGTGAGTTATAAAATATATATTTAGTCTTCTCTATACTTGTTTTTCATATATATACAAGGTTCATAGCAAGTATTAAACAGTAAGTTCTACCCTAGATCCGTCACTGTAAACAGATTATAAAACGTCTGTCAGCTTGGTCTTTACTGATAAATTGCTTAGATAGAACGCCATCACTTTTTCTTTACAGCTTATTTGGATGGCTGTTATGTATCATTTCATGATATATCATATGGTAGTATAGTATTGTATTGTATCGTTTTGATCTATACAAGTTTGGATAAATCATATTGTTAGCCATCCTTATATGATATCATGTACCAAATAATATAAAAAATAAACTTATAATATTACAGAGATAAAGTAAGGTACGAGGTATAATTATTATATAAAAAAGTCAGGATACAGGATAAAATAGGATTATTTAAAAATAAGGAATGGCGGCGGTATGAGAGGAAAAAAAAAGGGTAACGATGCGACTACATCAATGTCATTATATAAAGCGTCGCTTTCCGTTGTTACATAATAATTGATTTAACGATATATTAAATTTAAGTAACAATTAAAATAAATATTATATTTAAAATAATAATACGATACAATGGTAACAACCGTTCAAACAAGCTGCTAATGTGGTTTTCAAGCTCAGCTTCATCTTAGTTTTATTTCAGTAATGGCTAAAGAGTAAGTTGATATGTGTGGTATAAGAGTAGTTGCAAATGTAACTACTTGATATTATGGCCATGTTGCAAATGGAGCCAATAGCTATTAAGTCCATTTCATGGTAGACAAAGTTCCCATTAACTATTGAGGGGCCATTTTCACTATCCAATAGCAACGTAACCATGTTGGAGTTGATCATATAATTTTATTTGATGTTTTTACGATTCAAAAAAAAAAAAAAAAAATCAAAAAAATAAAGAAGAAGTGAAGTGAATGGCCAAAATCCAAATGCCAATTAGCTAATAGCGACATGACTATTTTTTATTGCTTTCCAACATGTTGGGACGGAAATTATTGCCCTTTCTTTTTAACTTTTTCCTCTCTCGATCGCACCATTGTAGTTACAAGGTTTCGACAATAGCCATATGCTCGGAAAATCACTGGCTGTATAGTTATATAGTTCTTCACTTTCTTTTTCACAAAAAGAGAACTTCGAAGTAACGGTCAAGTTGTCACCGTGTGACTTATAGGTTACAGGATCGAGCCTGATGCTTGCATCAAGTTGGCTGCATACATCACGCCCCCTTGGATTACGGCGTTCCCCGTAAATGCGGAATACTTTGTGCATCGGGATGTCTTTTTACTCGCTTTTTGCACATGTCAATGTATATTATATAGGTCCTTGTTTGTGATGCCGAATTCTCTTTTTCCCTTCACGCCCATGTTTTCCAATTCAATTTACTGAAAAACTGCTGAAACTATTAGTTTTACCCAAACTTTGGAGTTAATTATACGTAAATTAAGGGTTGGACGATGATCACGTATATATTGTGTGAGCTAAAGTTAATGCCAAATATTGTAGGAGTAGTTCCTTTTTCTTCTAGGAAGTGAATTTATCATAACTTTGTTTAATACGTCTGCTTATTCTCCGCTTAGACATGTAACTCTTATAGTCAAGTTTTATTCGTTCACAAACATATTAGGAATATATGCTTTTGGGAAAAAAGAAAAGTCCTCTTTTCCACTTTGAGAGCTCAAAAGAAAAGCCATCTCAACATATCGATAGCAGCCAGGGACACAAAATATTTCACATTCACACAGGGTTCGGGAAAATGCCGCATCCTAGGGGATGATGTAGACAGTTTACCCTAATGCAAACATTAGTGGCAGCTATCACGGCTCGAACCCGTGACCTATAGGTCACACAGAGATAATTTTGCCGTTGCTCGAAGGGTCCCCTTTTATCTCAACAAATCGATGTATCGAGAAAAAGGAAATGCTTCCATAATTTTCATCTAATTTTCAACAAACTTGCAGCCAAATAGTTGGCTGGAAGAATTAGCAAGAGATCGAATAATAGCTTTGCGAGTTCGGCAGAATCCAGTGCAGTATATTATGTGTTCGCATGCGTGCAAAACCTAAATTAGAAGTAAATATACATTTCAGAACTCACTTTCTCAATTCAAACTCTGTATACACATGTTAGCTTGAGATAATAAAACTTGGAGAAAGGAACTCTAACCAATAATAATTGAATGATTAATAGCAATCAAATAAACTGGATCTGATTTATCCACTAATATTGCTATCTAGATTAGTAGCTAGGTCTGGTTCTCTGCATGTAATTAACTACACATAACTGTGTCACAACTCCAACAATAATTCAAGAAAAATCAGAAAACTTTATGGTGCCAGCATTTTGCAACTCACTTATGTCCTGCTAGTTTGCTAGAAATAATTTCTNATATATATATATATATACTAAAATCCTCAAATATTAACCGTTGCATTAAAGATATGAACCACCAAATTACTTTAAGCATCTTCAATTCCTTCTTTAATTTAAATATGAGAGAAACAGATACTATGGTCCGAAGAGAAGCTAATTGATGTGTGTACTATATGTCCTTTCTATAGAACATTATAATTAGAAAATGACTCGGTGGTGGAGTCGTGAAAACGCTTATTTCTAGAATTAAAATTTTATATCGAAACACTATGTATGGAAGGTATGAACTCCCTAAACAAGAATTCTTGAACAACAAACAATCAGTTCAGAAATCTACTAAGTACAACAATTAAGAAAAAACTGTTGCTTTGTTAGCATGCTTCTGCAGGCTTAATAGAAACCCAATAATTTGGTGCAAAAAGGGTTGAAAATTTTCTGATTCGAAACAATTGAGGAAAAAATACCTTACATAGGAACATTATTATGACTCAAGATCGTTTACATAATACTGGACATAGAGACGCATAATAGATCGATATGAACAACATGTGAGTTGTCTCATAATAAATCTAACTTTTGCTCTGGATATTTATGTAAGTATGAAAGGTTAAACAAAAAAAGTAAGATTATGTGTAAATAATAATACAATAAAAGTAGTACTATATATACTTTTTAAAGTTCACAGAGAGCAGCCATCCCTTATTGTCTGGCCTATTTAAACCAAAACATAGACTACCCTACTACTATTTACATATCAATTCAAATACTTATTATTCATTCCCATGGGAAATGCATGTTAACAGGTATAGTAATTAAGTTAAACTACTTCTCCTCAAAATTGTTATGAATTGCTTAACTATCAGTGGTATGTTGAAAGCAACCCCTTTTACCCCTCCCTACTTCTTGCCCTACAAAAAAAATTACAAAAAGATTCTTCTTACTATAAGATTAAAATAATACTTTAATTAAGATGATTAATTAGCAGATATTGGAATCCAAATTAGCATTTAGCATTGTGGAATTCTAATCAAGTTTAAGTAGAAACATCAAATGGTAACCAAAGTTTATAAACATAACGCTTAAAAATTTAACGCAGTGATGAAATACTAATGCAAATTCTATAATTTTATAAAGTATATTAGGCTCATATATAGTTAAACATGAATGGATGAAATCACAGAAAAGAAGAAGCAATACTTTGATAATTTTTTGAGATTACCTATGCCTTTAAGCAATGGGCTTATCACAATTTACTAATCTTAATACTTCAATTTATCATTAATGGTACATGACTATACAGTAATTTAACCCCTGAAATTTAGTTTACTCTCCACATAGACTTTAATTAATTTGGGATGAATGATAAAGGATTTTACATAAACACATGTTAGACACAGCCATTTTCATGCATATATATTAACAGTTCATTTGCATTGTCGGGTATATAACTTAAAAATGCATTCAGCCAAAAAATCCATGATTATGGGTAATTTTATTTATAAGGTGGGAATTAACATTTTTGTCTTTTTAGATGTTTTTACTCCAAATGGTGAGAGAGAAAAGAGGTGTTGGGGGTTAAAGGAAAATGATTTTTTTCCTCACATAGTAACAAAAAAAATTAACTTTTTTCACGGAAATGTATGAGATCAGAGAGAGAGAGAGAGAGAGAGAGAGAGAGAGCAAAAACAAAGAGGCAAACAAAATGAACTATGTATCAATAATTGATGAAAACCAGGGAATCTTCTCTGCCATTTTCTCTTAGTTTTCACCACTTGATTGAACTATCCACAAATTGATCAGCCATAAAAGTCAAGCAAATAAAAAAAATTAAAATAAAATATATCAAATAAACATAGCTTCCCATTAAATTCACTAAATATATATATGAATGTAGAAATTGAGAAAATCCAAAATTTTCTCCTTTTACATTTTTCAAGAAGTAATAGAAGAAAAAAATTATGACAGGCTTCCATAGCTTAAATATACAAAAGTTAAAGAAAAATGTGGATCTAGTTTTTCATAACTAATCATAAAAATTCAATTAAAACCCATAATTCTTCTCTAAATTTGAATTTGCTATATATAAGTGTTATAGGTACTCAGAGAATTCACATAAAGTATGCCAAATTATGGAGTCGTTTAACTCATGAGCAATTTAAAGAGGAAAAAAGAGAGAGGAAACTATAAGGCAATTTTAAAGAATTTACCATGAAAATGCAGATCTCTTCAACTCCATATATGGAAACAAAAGTCCTAAGCTTGTCATCTTTTCCCACAGCTTTCTTGGACTTACAGAGCTTTAAATCTCATCTCTCAAATTAAAACTACCCACAATTGCCTAAAGAGAGATCAAAATTCAGCTAGAAGAAGTTCAAGAAAGCTGTGGAAAAGCATGACTAGGACTTCGTCGGAATTGAGCCGAGCGTCGGAAATAAACTTTCTACCTTCACAAGGTAGCTATAAGGTCTGCGTACACACTACCATCCTGAAACCCTATTTATGGGACTACGCTCGGTATATTGTTGCTGTTGAGAAAGAGGAAGAGGAAGAAGGAATTTTAGAAGAAAAAACAGTAGATAAAGAGAGAGGGAAATGGAGAGAATGGTGAAGTGAGAAGAGAGAATTGAGGTAATGAAACAAATGTGTAGAATGACCACAGTAACATATATAATTTGTGAAACCAGCTTTATAGATGGGGGAAGAAAGTAGGGTTCATTTTGCCCACATAAATTAATATAATGTCTGCTTTCTTTCTTTATTTTGTGAGTGCGCAGTGGGGCAGCATACCCCTATGTTAGATGGCTCATAAATCTTGAAAACAAACAAAAACCATCTATTCCAACCGTGTATATTTTTTCTAAGCTGATAAGTTACAACAATAGGTAACTATTCGTGCCAAATAAAAATATACAATCTAGAAATAAAGTAAATAACTTGTTAAAAAAAAGCGGCCGATGGATAAGGCATTTCGCATTCGTTCGAGAAAGAGCCAAGAGATGTGATGTAGATATATAGCGTACTTTAATGCAATCATTAATGACTATTTCTACGACTCAATCCCGTGACATATAAGTCACACATGGACGACTTTACCGTTGCTCCAATATGACCCTTTAAATAAATAATTACTTGCCACAATCGATTAAATTTTGCTAACAGAATAAACAAATTTTATAGTTCATATCATTTAAGAGTCAATATAGAGTAATTTTCATAACAAAGGTGGGAATAACCTCCAAAACATGGTAAATGACCTGTTACAAGTACAATAGATAAAACTATAATGATTGTGTAAAAGTTGTTAACTCTATTAGTGTACATAATTTAATTTCTCTTTAAAAAGAGTATAACTCAGGTGCGGGTAGTTTAAAATATTTTTACAAATTTAGGTTAAATTGACTTTTAATAGTAGGTGACTAGCTATAACAAAATATGACATATAACGTAGAAAATGAAAAACAATAATCTGTTATAATCGATTATACTATAGTGAGAATGAAATTTTTTATACCATTAGTACATATAATTTAAACTCTATTTAAAAGTTTAGCAGTTTTTACATAAAAGGGAGAAATAAAAGAAGAAAAAGAACAATGAGAAGGGAAATGATAAGGGCATCCCATCCCCATCACATGTGACCATGTGGCTATGATGCATTTCTTTAATTTTTGTTGGGAACAAAAGGTATGGGGAGTTTATGGTCCCCCAAATTAAAGTTTATTTTTTGCTGCATCATATACTTACTAATATATATTACCCTTGATGTAAATACTGTCAAAAACGTAGATTTCTGTTTGTTTAGGCAATTGGGTTATTCTGCAAAAAACTTAAGAAAGAGACACCCTTTGGCCTCCATTGCATGTGCATGGTCTTACTCTTTACCTAAAATGTACAGGATATCCGGCTGGCTGACGCTCTGGGGTGCGACTCTTTTTCCGGACTTTCTATAAATACGAGATATTTTGTATACCGGTCTATTTTTTATTTTGTACAAAATATCAAATGTGAAAAAGAATGAGCTGAAATCCTGCATGTGTGGTTAAATAATTTCCAATTATTTTGAAATATGTAACAACCCGATCGGTCATTTTGGATTGGGAATTGTAATGTCCTCTTGTTCTTCTAATACTCTTGTGATGAATACTTTTTCCATTATGGACTAATCTTGCTTAGGGTTATTGACGGATGTTGTGAATTGACTATTGTTTTGGGTTTTACTCTCTGTTAATTGCCCGGATTCATTGAATGAGTTATTAATTGAATTGCAAGGCTTATTGTAGTTTTACTTTTATCGAAAGAGAAGTGTTGCCACAATTTGCATTGTGCCATATCGTTTAGGTTGATTTTACGCCTTTTCTAGGTAATCTAAAGAGCTTAGAGAGTTATCAATTAACCTAGTTTAGAAAAATAATCGAGAGGTGTTCTTCGAAGGATCATTCATTAACTGTGTTTGTGCATATGTTCATAGGACCTGATATTAGCTGGATAAAGGGAATTCTCATCCATTCGGAAGAAGTTGAATCCCTAAGGTAGCCTAATCATCTGTTAAAATCGAAGGAGTCAATAGAAGTTAAGAATAAACTTAACCCAGAGTTACCCGGAACAATAGTTGATTACATATCTTGTCACACCCCTTACTTCTCACCCTGATATTAAATCGCTGCTCCTTAATCATTAAAGTGTCATTAGTTTCTTACAATAGATAATCTTATTTTTATTTGTAGTCGATAATAACATCAATCAAAGGTTCATTATCCTGGATAGTGGTGAGCTGAAGATTTATTAGAACATTATTTAAACTAATCCATGTGGAGACGATTTAGTACTATACTATATTTGACTAGCGATCCTAAATTTTTTACACCGGTTTTGCTCTCGTCAAATTTTGGCGTCGTTGCCGGGGATTGGTGATTAATAGTGTTTAAATTAATTTTCAGTGCTAATTCAGGAACAACTTTATTTTATTTTTCTTTTTATGCTCTTCTCATGTGTCTGCAGGTAACATGTTAAGTTCAACGGTGTATGACTCGATCTTCTTCAAAGGACTTGGTACCATACGACCCAGAGTTAGATAAGCACCTGAGGCAGTTGAGAAGAGAGAAAGGATCGAGTGGATTGTTGTTGGGTCAACATTCAACTCAAAATAAAATGGTAAACAATGAAGAGGTAGTGGACCTAGCTGCGAGAGAGGCGGCTCAGCAACAGGAAACATGGTTAGCAGCTTAAGCAGCCAGAATTGCGGATAAAATGGTCGACGTGGAGCGAAGGTTCAATCCCAATCGAAACGTGATAGAAGATAAATTTGAAAATACAGCTCCTAGACCTAGGAGGTCGTTAGGAGATTATGCTAGACCGATATATAATCAACATTAGTCTAGTGTGAGACCCCCACCCATTGATGCCAATAATTTTGAACTCAAACAGGGAGTCATCCAAACCATTCAGAGGAAAACCCAATGAAGATCCCAACAACCATCTGATGGACTTCGACGAAATTATGAACATATTCCGTTACAACGGAGCATCACACGATGCCATCTAACTCAGAGCATTCCCGTTCTCCCTTAAGGATAATGCAAAGCAGTGGTTGAGAAGTCTTCTCACAGGGTCAATCCGTACGTAGGAGGGGATGATGACCAAGTTCTGAGAAAAATATTTCTCTGCCGCTAATACTGGACGAATGAGGAAAGACATTCACAATTTCAGCCAAGGTGTTGGGGAGACAGTGTTCGAGTCATGGGAAAGATTCAAGGAGCTATTGCGGAGGTGCCCTCATAACGGAATGGAGCAATGGATGCAACTCCAGGACTTCTGGGACGGTTTAAACCCGTCATCAAGGAAAGTGCTGAATAGTGCGGTTGCAGGCCCTCTGATGAAGAAGACTCCTGAAGAGATTGTCACTCTTCTGAATGAACTATCTGAAGACGCAGAACAATGGTCTACTGATCAAGGGGACCGAAAAAGATTAGCAGGGGTGCACTAAGTAGAATCCTAGGTAGTAATGCAGGCCCAAATTGCAGCTATGGCTAAGGACATCAAGCAACTGACGCTAGCTCAGGTGCAAAATCAACCACAGGTGGGATGTAACATCTGTGGATTGGGACACCCGACACATGAGTGTCAAGCTACAGCTGAGGAAGTCAACGTTGTGGGGAACTTCAACAGAGGCAACTACCAGGAGGTAGTAATTTCAATTATATGGGATAGAGACATCCAGGGTTCTCATGGAGTTCTTCAGCTGGTAGTTTGAACTCATGGCAGCAACAAAATCTCAGAGCACCAGTGCAAGGACCTCCTGGTTTCCAAACTCAACAGAGGAAACCATACCAACCTCCACAGCCCAACAACTCAGGTTTAGAAGATCTAATGAAGGCATTTATAAATAAATCCGATGAGAAACTTGAGACTTAAGGGACCGCTATCAAGGAGCAAGGCACATCCATCCGGAATCTGGAAAGACAAATGGGGCAGCTTGCAACATTATTGTCAGAAAGGGCACCGAAGACTTTGCCGACAGATACTGAAAAGAATGTAAAAAAGACAATCAAAGTTGTGTCTCTCAGGAGTGGGAAAACATTAGCAGAGCCAAAGTCAAAACCAAGGGACGAGAAGGAGATCAACTCAACCAAGATACCTGAAGAAGAAAAAATCGGTGAATCTTTGCCCAAGGAGAATGTCAGCAACAAGGATGTTGATAAGCAGAAAGTGAACAACGCAGTTGAAGAAAGCAAGCACATGCCATTGTTACCATTTTCTTAAAAGATGAAGCGGGAAAAATTAGACAAATGCTTTGGAAAATTCTTGGAGATGCTGAAACAGTTGTATGTGAACATCCCACTCACTGAGGTGCTCACTCAGATGCCAGCCTATGCAAAATTCCTAAAGGAAATCCTCTCAAGAAAAACGAAGCTCGAGGAAACGAAAGTGGTCAAACTCAATGCCCACTGCAGTGCCATTCTACAGAACAAATATTGCCCACACCCCACACTTAAACCATTGCTCGTCCTCTATCAATCAAAATACACTTCACTTAAAATACGACCTTTTTCAACAACTCTCAAGACTCATCACACCAAGACTCTTTAAAACAAATTAAGCACAATATTGTAACATCTTAACCTTAAAATTTGACTCCAAAGCACCAAGAATTATCTATAACCCGCTTACTTACTCTAATACAGAGATCAAGCATTACCTTTCCTTCGTGAATCTAGTTCCCTCACACAAACATAGAGAGTAATTCCACACATAAAAAACATTAAGAACAATTAGAAACTCAAGATAGAAAGAATTCACTCACTCTCAGAAACAACATTCATATGCCACACAAGATGAACCATAGGATTGCCCGTAGTGTACTACTCTACTAATTGAACTCATTCAGTCAATGATCAAGTAGGAATTTCGTGGTTATAATGTAGGTTGCGGGGTGGGTAGGATACATGTAGATATAAGAGTGACTACACCTCCCTAAGCACTTTCAATACATATACTTAACCATTCAACCCCACACTTATGTCAAATCATACTCCACCTTCACATCAAATTATATTAACTTCCCATTTCTTTAAGCACAATTATACCAAGAGTCACCAATATCAAAGAATATTTTTCACAATAATTCACTTTTTTTGGCTCTTACTT